TGCGTATCGGCTGTTTGTGGGGAGATGGGGCCAGTCTGGACGCGATGCGCCGACAAAGAAGCCTTTCTTTATCGGCACAGGTAAACCTGGTTTCACGAGGCATACCTGTGCCGATCAAGAAAGGCTTCTTTGTCGGCGCAGCGCGTCCAGACTGCCCCGATCTGCCGACAAACAGCTGATCGGCAGAGCAGGGCAGCCATTTAAATTTAAATGAAGCCGCGATTATTTTAATTGCGGCTTCATTTCCCTCTGCCGATCTGGCTAATCTACATGCCTCCGTCGACGGAGGCATGTAGTCTAGACACACCCCTAGTGACAGATGATGTGGGAAAAGCTGAAGTACTCAATGCTTTCTTTGCCCCGATCTTCACAGACAGGGTGAGCTCTCAGACAAATGCACTAGGCAACGCAGTAGGGGAAGGAGGTGGACAGCCCTTAGCGGGGAAAGAAGAAGTGAGGAACTATTCAGAAAAGCTAGACAAATCCATGGGTCCAGATTTAATGCATCCGAGGGTACTGAGGGAGCTGGCAAGTGTCATTGCGGAGCCTTTGGCCATTATCTTTGAAAACTCGTGGAGATCGGGAGAAATCCCACATGACTGGAAAAAGGCAAATGTAGCGCCCATCTTTAAAAAAAGGAAGGAGGACAATCCAGGGAACTACAGACCAATCAGCCTTACTTCAGTCCCTGGAAAAATCATGGAGGGGATCCTCAAGGAATCCATTTTGAGGCACTTGGAAGAGGGGAAAGTGATCAGCATCGGTGAGCCCTGGTGATCAGGACTAGTCAGCATGGATTCACAAAGGGCAAGTCGTGCCTGACCAATCTGATTAGCTTCTATGATGAGGTAACTGGCTCAGTGGACATGGAAAAGTCAGTGGATGTGATATACCTTGACTTTGGCAAGGCTTTTGATACGGTCTCCCACAATATTCTTGCCAGCAAGTTAAGGGAGTATGGATTGGTAAATGGACTGTAAGATGGATAGAAAGCTGGCTAGACTGTTGGGCCCAATGGGTAGTGATCAACGGCTCAATGTCAGGTTGGCAGTTTGTTTCTAGCAGAGTGCCTCAAGGTTCGGTTCTAGAGCCAGCTTTGTTCAACATCTTTATTAATAACCTGGCTGAGGGGATGGATTGCACCCTCAGCAAGTTTGCAGATGACACTAAGCTAGGGGGAGAGGTAGATACCCTGGAGGGCAGGGATAGAGTCCAGAGTGACCTAGACAGATTAGAGGATTGGGCCAAAAGAAATCTGATGAGGACAAGTGTAGAGTCCTGCCCTTGGGATGGAAGAATCCCAAGCATTGTTACAGGCTGGGGACCAATTGTCTAAGTAGCAGTTCTGCAGAAAAGGACCTGGGGGTTCCAGTGGATGAGAAGCTGGATATGAGTCAACAGTGTGCCCTTGTAGCCAAGAAGGCTAATGGCATATTAGGGTGCATTAGGAGGAGCATTGCCAGCAGATCTAGAGAAGTGATAGAGAAGTGATTATTCCCCTTTATTCGGCTCTGGTGAGGCCACACCTGGAGTATTGTGTCCAGTTCTGGACCCCCCACTATAGAAAGGATGTGGACGCATTGGAGAGGGTCCAGCGGAGGACAACCAAAATGATTAGGGGGTGGAGCACATGACCTATGAGGAGAGACTGACGGATTTGGGTTTGTTTAGTCTGCGGAAGAGAAGAGTGAGGGCGGTTTTGAGAGCAGCCTTCAACTCCCTGAAGGGAGGTTCCAAAGAGGCTGGAGAGAGGCTGTTCTCAGTGGTGACGGATGGCAGAACGAGGAGCAATGGGCTCAAGTTACAGTGGGGGAGGTCTAGGTTGGATATTAGGAAAAACTATTTCCCTAGGAGGGTGGTGAAGCACTGGAATGGGTTCCCTAGGGAGGTGGTGGAATCCAACCCCGGCTCTTGGTCTCTCTGGTGCTCAGGATCTAGTCTGTAGGGCTCCTCTAACCTGAGGGAAACCGAGTCACGAGGAAACTGCTGCAGCTGAACATCTAGAGGGAATCTCTCCCCAGCCCCAGCCCAACAGCAGCCAGCAACCCAGGCCAGGCCCCGGCGTTACCTTCAGCACCGTGATGTTCCAGGCAAAACTCTCCAGGGCCTTCTGCAGCTTCCTGCCCTTCAGCCCTTCCTGGGCTTCCAGGTGGTGCAGCTCCTTGTGGAAATCCATCCCTGGGGAGCAGAGCAAGAAGGTGCTTGTCATGCCAAGCCAGTGCCCAGAGCCACGGGGCAGAGACCTGGGGGCCAGGCTGCCATGCCCACAGCAAAGCCGGCTGCAGGGTGGGTGCCCAGAGCTGGCTCCATACGGTGGCTGCACAAGCAGAAACAGCCGGGGACAGCCGGCACCAAGCCAGGCAGCTGAGCTGGCACAGGCGGCTGAGGCCAGGAGAGATCCAGCGTTGCTCCCTGCACCCCACCTAGGCAGCTCTAAGGAGCTGGAAACAAGGGAAATCCCCTGGCACAAAGGGGAGTCCCAGACACACAAGCCCTGGCCTGCCCTGGGCGGACAGAGCAGTCCCAGAGGCCAGGGGGCCTGCGGGCACCCGGCTCAGCCAGGTCCGAAGGCCGGAAGAGGCGCGATTCCAGCCAGTGGCGGTGGCAGCTGTCACCACCCCTCCAGGCACCCGGTGAGGCCAGCGTGCCCAGCATGCGGGCAGGGGCGGGGTGTGCATGGGATACCCGGGCTCCCATAGCAGAGGTGGGGATGGCCGGGCCGTGGTTGGGGGCCTGTGCTCCTCAGAGGGGTCAGGGGGGCTCGAGGGCTGACCCCCGAGGCCAGGCGTTGCCCCAGGGGGTGGCATCATGACTGGACTGAACCTTGGCTGGGAAGACGCTGGGGAGTGGGCTGCCTCTCCCATGGACCCTCTGGCCACCCACGCTCAAGCCAGCAGCTGCCGGGTGTGTCCTGGTGCCCTTCATGCTGGGCACAAGGGAACAGCCTCCAGAGCCGGCGGGTGAGGGCGCAGCCAAGGTCGCCCCTCCCAGCAAACCTCTGTGGAGCGAGGAGCCTGGGGGTTGCCCAAAGACCACGCCTCCCCCTTCCCCCCCAGCATGGGGCCTCCCCCAGCATCCCACCCGGGCTCGGGCACAGCCACAAAGCAGCCTATGGGGGCGGGAGATCCCATGGTGAGGGGCAGGAGCCTGGGGCCATGCGGCACCTCTCCCTCTCCGCCTGCCCAGCTGCTTAGTGCTGGAACAGAAAGAACCCAGGGTGCTAAACAGCCCACCCATTCCTCACACGGGACCCTTCAATGACAGTACACCCCCCCCCCGACAACCCACCACCACAGCTCCCCACACCCAAATGAAGATGGGCAGCCCCTCTGTCCCTGCAGTAGCAAATGGGGCCCCTGCTGCCCTTCCAGATCCCCCCAGGGGGCACCATGCTGAGCCCACCCTGCTGGACTCTCCGGCCAGGGACAGGTCGTGGGGGCGGGGTTCAGCACACGAGGGGTTAAGCCAGCCCGCTGCACAGCACCCTCCACCACAGCTCCCCACACCCAAATGAAGATGGGCAGCCCCTCTGTCCCTGCAGTAGCAAATGGGGCCCCTGCTGCCCTTCCAGATCCCCCCAGGGGGCACCATGCTGAGCCCACCCTGCTGGACTCTCCGGCCAGGGACAGGTCGTGGGGGCGGGGTTCAGCACACGAGGGGTTAAGCCAGCCCGCTGCACAGCACCCTGAGCTGCAGGTAACAGAGCCGGGGGCCTGGGTGTCTCCCTGCCACAAGCTTGGGCAGCGCATGGGGCGCTTGGGCAACACCCGACCCGCTAGGAACTGGGCTTAGGCCCAACAAACTCATCTCACCTCCTGCCAGCAAACACCGGGTCAGCCGGCTTCGACTGCACAGCCCTGGCATCTCCCCAAGCCAGCCTGGCCTTCTCAAGCACCCGCGGGGGGCCATAAGCTGTCCCCTGTTCCCCAGAGCCACCACCAGGAGCTTCTGCAGCCACACCCAGGGCACCGGCATCAGGGCCACAGGCTCAGCCCTGACCCCTCTCCTTAGGTCACCCGCCAGCCCTGCCTGCTGCCCGCCAGATCCTAGAAGTGGAAGGGACCTTGAGAGGTCACCGAGTCCAGTCCCCTGCCCTCACGGCAGGGCCAAGCACCATCCCGACCAGTGTTTCCCAACCAGTGGTACGAGTACCCTTAGGGGTACTCTAGATAAGTCCGGGGGGTTCATCAACACAACTGAAATTTGGAGAAAACTGAATTTTTGTTTTAAGTTTCACAGCGCTGTCTTATTTTTGTACTTTTTACACCCAAAAATTTCATCGCCCGCCCGGCTGCAATTAAGTTGTTTAAACAAATGTGTTGTAATGACAGAAGAAAAATGTGTGTCTGAAAACTGTAGCTACTGGGGGTACTTATAATTATTTTTTTGGAAAAAGGGGTACTTTATTAAAAAGGTTGAGAAACACTGATGTAGACCATCCCTGATAGATGTGCATCCAACCTGCTCTTCAATAACTCCACGGATGGAGATTCCACAACCCCCCCAGGCAATTTATCCCAATGCTTAACCACCCTGATAATTCGGAACTTTTTCCTAATGTCCAACCTAAACCTCCCTTGCTGCGGTTTAAGCCCATTGCTGCTTGTCCTATCCTCAGAGGCCAAGGAGAACAATGTTTCTCCCTCCTCCTTGTAACACTCTTTTAGGTACACGTTGAATTTCTCTAATCCGGAATCCTCAGGACCTGACCAGTTCCAAACGAGAGAATTTTCTGGACCACGGAAGGTCAATATTTTTTAGCAACATTACCAACACTCCCACTGATTACTGGGCCGTTAGAGGACGTTTTAGGGGTAAATTAGAGCGAAATAACAGCACAGGAGAGAGAGCCAGGACTGGTGTCTGTAAACAAACTTTTTGGGTCCGCAGGAAACTTGGCCAGACCTGTGAAAAGTGGACATGCGGCTCACTAAAATCATGCCGGACAATGGATGTTTCTGGACGAGAGAGCTCTGGATTAGAGAGCTGCCATCATATCCCCTCTCAGTCTTCTCTTTTCTAAACTAAACAAATCCCAGTTCTTTCAGCCTTCCCTCACAGGCGATGTTCTCTAGACCTTTAAGCATTTTTGTTGCTTTTTTCTGGACCTTCTCCAATTTCTCCACATCTTTTCTGAAATGTGGTGCCCAGAACTGGACACAGGACTCCCGCTGAAGCCTAACCAGCGCAGAGTAGAGGGGAAGAACGACTTCTCCTGTCTTGCTCCCCACACTCCTGTTCATGCAGCCCGGAAGGATGTTTGCTGTTTTTGCAACAGCACCACACTGTTGGCTCCTATTTAGCTTTGTGGCCCACGACCCCAGATCCCTCTGCAGTGCTCCCTCCTAGATAGTCACGTCAGGGGGGCTTCAGGGCTCCTGGCAGCTCCCCGGGCACTGGACTAGGGGAGCAGTGCAGCAGGGCACAGGCTGGCACAGGCCTCCCTGTGACATGAGCAAAGGGGCCTCTAGACCTTCCAGTGCCTAGCAGTTACCCCTGCTGCCCTCCCCAGGCAACATGTGACTCTGGCAGGAAGGGGATGGGGAGCTGCCTCTCCCTGGAGGGATGAGAGGAGGCTCCTATCCCCACATGGGGTGAAGCAGACCTGCAGGGCAGCAACACTGGGGGATGCAGGCAGGGTCCACACTGGGGGAGGCAGGGCAGGTTGCGGGGCACTGGGCCCAGAAAGGCAGGAACTGGCCAGCCCTCTGGGATTCACAATCTGTTCCACCCGCATTAATCCCGGGCTATTCATAACACTCCATGCTCCCCGAGGATCCAATCAGCCGGGGCACAGCCACTGACCCCCGGCCCCGGCATGCCTGGGTGTAATTATCCATGCCCTGCCACTGAGGAGCAGAGCTTTGAGCGTGGGAAGGGAACAGGGCTGCAGGTCGGGAGTGAGGGGCACTGGAAGAGGAGGGGGAGTCCAGGGCTTGGCTAGCAGGGGGCTGTGGGTCAGGAGTGAGGGGCACTGGCAGAGCTGGGGGAGCCCAGGGCTGGGCTAGCAGGGGGCTGTGGGTCGGGAGTGAGGGGCGCCGGCAGAGCTGGGGGGAGCCCGGAGTGGGTGAGCAGGTGTGGGGGGGCACAAGGAAGGGGAAGAGGAGGGGGAGTCCAGGGCTTGGCTAGCAGGGGGCTGTGGGTCAGGAGTGAGGGGCACTGGCAGAGCTGGGGGAGCCCAGGGCTGGGCTAGCAGGGGGCTGTGGGTCGGGAGTGAGGGGCGCCGGCAGAGCTGGGGGGAGCCCGGAGTGGGTGAGCAGGTGTGGGGGGGCACAAGGAAGGGGCCTTGGCACAGCCCGACAGCCGCACCTGCCTGTGTGGGTTCAGCCACATGTCTTCGATGCCATAACACTCCGCTGCCGCTTACGCCGTCAGCCCCAGTCTGTTATTTCTGATGCTAATTATATTTCAGCGTTTGGCAGTTAACAATTCCTCTCTGCTTCCTTGTCAGCCTCCCCCGTGTCGCTCCGCTCCGCTCCCCCACCCCGCTCGCCCCTTTGGGGCCCGGTGGCCCCCCTCTCAGCACGCCACATGTCTTCGATGCCATAACACTCCGCTGCCGCTTACGCCGTCAGCCCCAGTCTGTTATTTCTGATGCTAATTATATTTCAGCGTTTGGCAGTTAACAATTCCTCTCTGCTTCCTTGTCAGCCTCCCCCGTGTCGCTCCGCTCCGCTCCCCCACCCCGCTCGCCCCTTTGGGGCCCGGTGGCCCCCCTCTCAGCACTGATGCCCCCTGGCAAGCTTCCCCTGGTGGAGGGTGGGCTCCCGTGGGGTTCGAGCCCGCACGGCAGGAGGGAGCTATTCCCGAGGGCTGGGCGCTCGCTCTTCGGCTCCGCTGTCCCAGCTGGGAGCAGCCAGGAGAGGGGACAGAGAGCCGCTGTCCTCCCCAAGCACCCCACGCTGCTCTGCCCAGCACAGAGTACCTACCCACAGCTGCTCTACCCACATCCCATCCCCTGGGGCTGCCCGACCACCAGTCTCAGCGCAGGAGCAGCATGCCAGAGTCCCCGAAGGCACTGCACGGCAGATTTCTGGAAGAGCTAGAGGCACCCCTCACACAGGCCTGTCTCCAACATCCGCCACCCCTCGTTTCCTGCCCGCTGCCACAGGAAGACACGTCCCGGCCAGCAGACTCCCGCGGGGCCGGGTGCAGAGAGCTGGGCCGCACCAGGAGGCGCCTGTCAGACTGTCGCAGGCAGCTCAGCCGTCCCCACCCCAGCATGGGCTAGGAGGGGCTGATCGGGCCGTGGGGTCTTTCCTCCCGGGGGGCGCAAGTTCAGCCC